CCATTACGCTGCTATCACAGACTCGGAAAAGACTGGCTAGCTTCTGGGCTTGCTGCACCGAAATCTGGCAAAGAGGTGCCTGGTTCTGTGCCCAGGCGACTTCCGTGATGTGACGGATGTAAGACCAAGTGGGCGGCCAGGGAAGTAGCCGGCCTCTCGACGTTTTCATTCAAAGGCATGAGTATGGTCTGGTCTGGTCCTGTCCGATATGGTGTGGCACGGCATGGCGTGGCTTGGCCTGCACGCAAAGACATGGTATGGTGTATGTATGTATCTGGACTTTGAAGTAACCAGGAAAAAAGTATGAATTTTATTTCATAATGGTTCCCTTAAGGAACAGGCACCAAAACAAGTATTCAAGCATGGTACTCCAAACCCAGGGTATGCATGCATGCAGTAATGCCAGGCGAAGCAATTCTGCCTGTGTGCATGTTGGAGCACCTACCTACCACCTACCTACGCATAAGCATCTTACATGAAAGACATGCCAGAAGTGTTTGGTGCTGTTCGTTAGCGAAAGCTTGCTTGTCGTACAGCCTTCAGCGAAACAAAAACATCCAGAAGCTGGTTCATCACGTCGTGCGCATCAAGGTGGCCCTGAACAAGTGTCAGCTCAGAGTGGGGAGCCTGCAGCGGCACTACATGTCGCAACTCCATTCAGCGCCTTCGGGACACTTGAAGATCAAGCGATTTCGCAAGTTGACTGCCTCGGCGATGCACAAAAAGGCAGAGGCCAGGTGTTGTAGAGTCGTGCCAGACTAGTTAGGGATGACGGCATAAGCCTTCACAGGGAATTGCATAACCAAGACCTTCCAAACGGACACCGCAAATCCACCACCTCTATCTGCCTGGAACCCAGCAGTACGAGACTCTGATGCATCCGACGGCTTACCCGTGCACTTATCAACCACTGCGGAAGCCCGAGGCTGTCACCCAGAAATGCAGCGCCAGGGGAATATCCAAGCCTGACCAACTTGCTGACAGATCGTGACTTCGAGGATGTGGCACGGAGAGTTAAGATGCCTGATCTAGACCCCATAAACATGATCTTTGTCGTCAGAGTTGTGCCTAGGCGGTACGGCCTGAATCCCTTCAAACGTAGTTGTTCTTTGTGGGCTCGGGCATGCAGAAGGTGCCGACATCGTTCAAAACCAGTAACCCTCATCACCAACCGGACAACAGTCCTTCGGTCCTCACCTCATGGCTGGGGATCTGTGGAAAATCATGAACAGCTCTTACCAGTTTGTTAGTATGAAGTAGATGGGGCTTCCAAAACCAAAAAGCAGCCCAGCATGACTTCCTAGCTAAAGAAAAAGCAATCTCTCCCCTAGCATATCGCCGAGCGACCGGCTGCTACAGGTTCGATTGAGTCGTGGTGGCACTTTTGAAACCAGAAGCTGTGGCACGTCAGCTGCAGCCTGCTACGCCGCTGCGAAGACACTACACCAAAAGCTCTCCTTGACACTGCTTGACGAGTCCCTGTCTGTGCTTGCAGATGTCAACTGAGCACACACTGGCAGGTTGCCAGTTCTCTGGTGTGAGGTTGCAGCTGATGGGGGAGCAAATGGCATACGAAGGGTCTGAACCCAACTCAGTTTGTGACTGCACCCACTGCACAGTTTGGGTGTGCTGCTCCCTCCATGCCACAATACGCTTGAGAGCCTGCAGGTACTCCGGGGACTGCTCATCCACGGGCTGATTCTCGCCTGGATCTGCAACGAGGTTGAAAAGAAGCGGCTGTCCTTGCAAGCCGGCTGGCCGTCCCGCCGGAGGTGCCTCTCCGTTTGTAAACCAGTAGGCCTTGTAGTTTCCGCATCTCACTGCAGAAAGCGCAAACGGGCTGGAAGCATTGTGCGAGTCCGGCTCGTTGTAAAAGGGGTAACACTCGTGGGCTTGCTCAGAACGACCTGCCAGGACGTCTGTGAGGTCAATGCCATCGATAACTCGATCCTCTGGAAGCTTCACACCGGCCTGGCTCAAAAGGGTTGTGTGAACGTCCAGAGTGGATGCAATGGCTTGAGTCAGGCCTTTGCGAACATTCCGTCCCCAAGCGATGGCAGGCTCTCGAAAGCCCCCTTCCCACAGCTGCGCTTTGGCACCTCTCAAGGGGAGATTGCCTCGATTGTCATTGCCCCACCTGATGCCTGTGGGTGCGCCATTGTCACTGGTAAAGAGCACCAGCGTATTGTCGCCCTCTTTGGCAACTCGGCTTCGCACGGCGTCCATGATCTGCCCGATGGCCCAATCGACCTCTTCGACAGCATCGCCTACGGCGCCTTGCGGAGACTTTCCGCAGAAGGCCGGCCCGGCTGTGTTGGGCGCGTGTACGTGGTTGAAGGCTGCATACAGATAGAAAGGGCCTGGGGCCTTCGAAACGAAGTCCACGGCGGCCTTAGCATACTTCTGAGTGAGGCTTCCAAGGTCAACGGGCTGCTCGATCACAGCGGTGCCGTTGAGTAGCGGCAGCGGAACAGGCTTCCAAGGCTCGCTTGGTATAGGGAGCCATGCAGACGTGCCCATGTCCTGGCTGAAGGGAATACCCAAGTAGTGACCGAACCCGCGGTTTGTCGGCAGAAACTCTTTTCGCTGGCCTAAGTGCCACTTGCCGATGGCCATGCTCTCGTAACCTGCCTCGGAAAGCACTTCGGCTGTGGTGGTTTCGTTCAATGGCAAGCCTCCGATGGCTTCTGCAGTGAAGACCTGATTCCCGCCTGAGCCACGGCAAACCTCCGCCGCACCACAGGGCACGCCAACACCACTTCGAATGCTGTGCCGCCCTGTTAGCATCGAGGCGCGGCTGGGGGAGCACAGATGGAACGAGCTATACCAGGTTTGAAACAATAGACCTTCTTTGGCGAGCCGTGCCACATTCGGAGTCGCAATGGTGCCGTTGTCGCCGGTATATCCATAAACCTGGCCTGCATAGATAGACTTGTCCACTGCTACCTGGTTGATGCCCATGTCGTCCACGAAGAGGACTACAAAGTTCGGCTTGGCAGCTGCCAAACCAGCAAAGGCTAGGAAGCCTCTGACGGCCATTCTTGCGACGGCAAGCAGATGCATAACGTCGGGGCCTTAATAATTAGAACGGTGTCGGGGCATAATATACTATAGTATAAATCTAATAAGGAACCCCAGAACAGTATAGGCAATCATTCAGGCCCCTATAATAGGCTATGGCTCGAGACTGAGCCGCTGTGCTCAGCGGTTGCAGCAGATCCCGTTCGTTGTGGTTGACTTTCCGCACGTAGAGTCTGTATCTGGGCATGTCAGCTTACTACACGTCTCTGCCGCTACATTGCTTGATTGCCGACCATCGTGTCAACCAGTACCATGTCGGCTCTAGCAACACCCCTCCAAGAACAGAGACTCATCCCCAGTCTTCCGAGCCAGATCGTCTTCAGTTGCTGCCGCTCTCACTTGCTACCTGGGACTGGGGCCTCTGTTCCAGCTGGCAGCTGACACACAATGAAGTCCTTAAGCGAAAGTTCTGTTCGTCGAGTGCCTGTTCTGCGATATGCTCTGTAATATGGGCAATGTTGTAGTTGCCCATCTTGGGGTGAGGGGGCAGGTCTGCATGCGGGAAATCCTTCGGCCGCCTGTCGACATTTACAAACTGCGCCGAGCAGCGAGCGAACCAAGACCACTTTGTCATCGCTTCGAACGTGTTTCGCAAGTGGTCGGGGCTGTGCACGGAAACGAATCCTTGGTCTGAAGACAACAAGGCCAGACAGCAAAAACAGCAAGGGCCCCTCGACAAAAGGCCTGGATTCTGCACATGTGCCGTCATCTATGCAGGCCACAACGGCCGCAGAACGAGCCATTCACAGTAACAGTAGCAGGCATTTACGCGAAGCTTCGCGAGTATCTTGTGGTCTGTGTTGGCTGACGGCTTTTCGGGCTTCGGCTCCTGTCTTTCAGTGGCATGAGTGCTGCAGCGCTGCCATGTGCTGCCCTGACCAGCACACATACCGGCTTAGCCATCCACTGTAAAACAATCTATCAGCACACTCAGCAGATGATGGTATTTCGTCCATCTGTCGCAGTCTCGCGGGTGATAAGGCTAAGGCAATCCTTGATGCCAGGTCTCTGAGGCGACAAGGATGCACTTCCTTTGTGCAGCGTCTCGCAACCCGTTCTCCACTGCTCCACTGCTGTCCGTCTTTGACGGAGCAGTGCCCGTCCTGGTGGTTGTGAGGGCCATGGGCAAGGCAGGCAAGGTAACATTTTTTTTCGAGCTCCACCTGTTTGAGTTTGGCAGGCCGTAATGCAAGCCTGCCATGTTGATCTCTCATTCCGGGGAACTGAACTCTAACTCTAACGATAATTGCAAGACCCGTATATACCTGGTGCATCGCAATAACCAGCAACACACCGTCGTCAATGCCCTAGTCTTCATTCGCTGCTGCCGATAGCCGGCGAAACCGATCAATGCATTGAGTGCACCGGGCGAACCTGTCTTCTTTCAGTTTTAACTAAACCAGCATGGTTGTAGTGGTATCCGGGTCAACGGTACTCAGGGTCCTGACATACTGATCAAGAAGTTGCATACCTAGTATCCTGATTCGAATGTAGACTGCTGGAGGTTCCGTGAATCCACAGCCCTATGTGCCCGTAGGATTGTCACATGGCTTTATCAACTGGCCCCCCTCCCCGCTCCTTGGACAAGCTGGCTGGTTGCGCTCGTCCCGCGAGAAGAGTCGGCTTCTGCAGCGCCTCCTACACGAAACCAATGTGCGAACTTGTGACATTCCCTTCGTTTACTTCGAAGGCTAAGGCAAATGCGGCTAGATGACTCGAAGAACCCTGCACCGGAAGTGTGTCTGAACATATGTCGACCCACTGGAAAAGCAGCCAGACTGACAAGCTGATAAGCCCAGGAAGCTGTGCTATGTACCTGGATGTTGCAAACAGATAGGCCGCTACGAAGAATATAAGGGCCGAAACTTTCCCGAAAGATGTGCAACGCTGGAAACCTCTTTGACTTGTGCATCCTTTGCACTCTCACAAAAGAGCCTCCTCGTCATGACTAGGATCCTACCGCAGCTGCTCTCCTTCCGATACAACCTGCGGCGAACATGCAGTCAAGCCTTGACTACCCTGCAATCCTGCGGAGCTGGCGGTTTTGCATGGTAGACTTTTGCATTGAAGATCTTGTCGGCCGTGGCTAAGGTCAGCATGCCACCGACGGAGAAGCCCAGAATGACAATCTCTCCTAGGATGATGCAGTCTGCACCAGTATTCATGAGCTCGAATTTTGGGGCGAGAAGCTGTAAGGACACTCGTGCTTCGTGTGCTCATCGCGGCGGTACGCTCCCAGGCGCTGGAGGTAGTCCAATAGGAATGCCCTGAGTGGGGCACAGAGACAGCTTCGAGCCAAGTCTCTTTATCTCATTGGCTACCCGCACAATTTCAGGATGAGTCACGGATCAGACAGGCCCACGTAGGTCTGCTTTCGCCATTCGGCTCCGCCTGTGCAGAAGCACTACCACGACAGTTCGCTGCCTGCTTCTTAAGGAAACAGTAAACAATACTAATCCTGGCAGCAGATGCGGCCCTGTGAGGGACTGTAACGACAACGACAACAATCATGACGACAGCGAAAGCAGAGGCAATAATACACAATAGTTACAACAGTTGTAATCACGATCACGGTGTACGAGGGCTGGAGCAGCACTGACGGCAGCGTTGCTGCAAGGCTTTCGAACTTGCGTAGCCATTCTAAAACATGGATAATCCTGCCTGTGCCAGCATTGTGAAACAGGCACCAGTCTTCGTTGGCTTTGTCGACGACACCGCCTGAAAAAGAATGCAGGTCCTATGAAACGCAGTGGGTTGGAAGTCAACAGCTTCCAAATACCTGGTAACGCTGTTCCGGGAAAAGCACGCAGGCTTGCAAAGAATCGGTAGCTTTGGACGCCTTTGGGTTCGTGGGGTACCTGAAGATTTTAGGAGCCCGCCTGACGACAAATCGAGAATAGCGTCTTCTCAGCACCTGGTTGGCCTCTACATGAAACGGAAAACCTGACCCTCTAAATGCCAAGATGCTTTGAAGAAGCTCATCGAAGTATCCTGCAACGGAGTCCCCATCACTCATTCCGCCTGCGGTGCACTGCAGTGGTGTGGTTTTGTGGGACTGTCGAAGCTGGAGTCGCGACACAAGGGCAGCCACACTCAACAACGGTGCGCTCTCCCATCCTTCGCGATCGAAACCCGGGGCCCAGATGTGTACAGCCACCCAGCGGAAGCCTGGAACCAAGATCCAAAGCCTCTGCGGAGAAGCTGGCTCGGAAGCTCTCTCTGGCCACCAAACCGCATACTCCTCCAAGTTTCAGAATCTGTTTCTCGGGCGAGCTGAGCCAAGTCATTCTGAGACAGGGAAGTCAAGGTCTACGCACGCATTTTTGTCAACACACTTTCAGAGGCTGTGTTAGGTAATGTAGAGAAAAGCACATTCGGAGATCCCTGTCCTCTTCAAGCTCTTCGTGTTCGTACAGCATGACGTGGTATCTTTGGCGATTGCCCCACATTCGGCGAAGATTGACCTTGCACGCATCGCCATCAAACTCTGTAAGCCCCGGTATTCGCATGGATTGCTTAAGAACACGTACTTCAGCCAGTGATTCGGTTGCACGGCTTCGGTGCTGCTCCGGCCATCCCTGAAGTGACTGCTGGACCATTCGCCCGGCTAAACTTTGGCCAACTTGCTGACTTGGAAAACTGAAGGACTGAACGATGGACGAGCCCGACCAATTGATGCAGATTGATTGTATATAGTGCTTGTGAAGATGTTTTGCATCTTCCTCTTTCCTAGGTGGGCTCGGCTTGTGGCTCCCATCTCTGCGTCGGGCTTGCAAATGTCTGACGATGGGCCGGCAAGTGAACAGACCCTCCGAGCAGGATCGCATCAACAGTATGACCGAATGTGCAAGCTCATCGAATTGTCCATGACCATACATGACCGTGGAAGCACCCGGAAAGCTTCCAACCCCAGGCCTTATTCTCGTTTCACGGCAAAACCTATGCTAACCATGTCAGCTGACCAAAGTGGATGCTCGCAGCATCACGAACATACCACGATGCCACCAGAAATGGCGCCTTGGAAGCTTCAGCTCGGGCTTGCTTTCCAGGCGGTTCTCTTTTGACGCGACCGGCACCTGTATGCGGATTGCAGCAGCGATGTGAATAACCGATGTTCTGTACTTCAAAGCCTCAAATGCCGTCCGCAATGATCCCTCGCTGCACTGACCCTCACCCTGTCCCGAGGCCAAGGCAGCAATGATCGCAGCCATCTCGACAAGCCTAATGTCGAATGTTGGAGAACCGGAAATTCGTCGGGGCTAGTATGATGTTTTGCCCACATGGAGCCTAAAAGCGTCAGTAGTCCCAAAGGAAGGGAACTGACTGCTCGTGGTCCAAGGCTCTGTGTACATCGTGTACAACACTCGCAGATCTACGCGCACGACGAGAGAAACCGCAGTTCCGGTGTGGGATCCGCGGAACACGATTTCGGGACCTGGCATTATGAGGTGGTGACCTGGGCTGTTCCAACAACTCTCGCCTAATGCTGCTTCATGCAGAAGACCGTCAAGGACGCAAGGCTCCGGGGCAAGGCATCAAGTTGTCATCCTGAAAACTTGTGCACTCTTCACCCTGTGCTCCCAAAACCTCTCTACATATCCCTGTAAACTCGGAGCCTTCATTGTTCCCCCAAATGCCCAGGACAAGGTCTCATTGAATCCATCGTGAGCCTCCATAGATACATATGTACATATATATATATATATATATATGTATATAGATATACACACATATGTTTTGACATTGAGTTTTTATACATATACTTTTTTCAACCTGCATAATGCATACGTACACATGCATATATGCATACATAAGACTATAAGCCTAGGTGCCCAAAGCAAGGACCACCTTGGCGATCCCGCTCCAGAATCGCGCTGTTCTGATAAGAGAGTTTGCAGCCTGGGCTGCGTCTTTATAGCAATCCGAATAGTAGAAACCGTGATGTTAATGTGTTGTCCAGACCAGTACCGTCATTCTGTCGCCTGTCGTATGCTGACCTTGTGATCAGAATTGCCAACATGATGTTCATTGATCATCATGTCCTTTTGAGGATAGAGAAGATGATGGGTACTTTAAAGCCCAAGTGTGCATGGCAACAGTGGGTTGTTGTTGTGGTGAGACTTTCAGAACTGGCTTCAACTCCCAGCCATAATGGCCGCTGCAGCCATACCTACGAATGTCGCGAGATGTCGTCGGCAAGCGGCAGCAGCAGCAGCAGCAACAGCAGAAGGAGGCGTTGTCGTCCCTGTCGTTATGCTAAGAGCCACAGGTGCAGTCGCAGCGACAGAAGCAGGTTCAGTAGTGGGAGTCACAAGTCAAGGCTCGAAGCTCGCCTCCTGAAGGTTTGTCTCAAAGATGCTGCTCGCTTCGCGACATCCACTGGTACAGCAAAGATATTGTGGTACCAGGTGCATCTGGCCTGTGTTTGAATAGTTGAGGGTTTAACATGCAGAAGAAGGATTTTCGGAGGCCGATACCATGTCGATCAGGCTGCTCTCGGATGGAACAGAGTCCCGCAGACGACTTCAAGAAGACCGAAACCCACACCCATCAGCAAGGTGGCCGTGAACTCACGGCGCAAATGGCCACTGAGCGAAAGCAGATGCTTCGTGGGCATGGCTCTTGGGCCATGTAGCTGGCACTCCACTACCTGCCAGCGCCCCTAGGGGCTTGAGCACAGCGTTGCAGCATATGTGCACGTGCCATAGTGCTTGCAATGGTGCATGCTTCTACTTTCCTCCAGAAGGCGATACGCTCCCTGACTTCCCTGATTGTGAAGCATACGGGCATCTGTCGGCCGCAAGCATCTCCACTCTCTGGCAGACACGCTATTTTCAGTGCCAGGAGCTTGCAGTCCAATGCAATGTCAGTTGCTTCAGGCAGTTCTGCAGGTCTGGCGGCAACGGGGCCTCCAGAAAAATTGCAACAGAAGGGGGAAAGCCTGCTGGTACTCAACCGAATGACAATTGGCGCACAGTTTGCTGAGTTTTGAGTTGGCCCAACAAGCAGGCTCGTCTTCGGAATGTACGGTCACAGCCAGCAAAAACATTCGGGTACCCTTGGCTCTTCTAGTCTTGCTTGGGTATTGGTCTTCGGGCTTCAGTGTGTTTTTGTTGGGGTGGGGGGGTGGTGGGCTGGTGTAGGATCATGCCGGCACCACTGTTTAGGCTCCCAGGCAGCCTCCAAACGGAGTTGGTGCGATTGGCTCGGATGGGGTGCTTGGAAGCGCCAGGCATGGAGTGCCTCGCACCAAGCGAGGGCGTTGGGCTTTCGGGTTGAAGGCTTGCGGCTTCCGGGCTTTGGGTTCAGGTCGTTCGTGCGGTTGCAGACGCTTCCGAAAGAGCTCGCATGCACTGTGCTGAAGGAGTTGTTGGTTAACAGCAGATCGTGGCGGATCTGACCGGTCATACTCTGCTGCGGCATATCAACTAATCATATTCGCCATTTTCGAAGATCTTCCTCATCGGCCATGACGAACTCTAGCAAGTATCTTGCAAAGTTCAATGTAAGGGTCTGAATAGAGGTTTCGACAGCTTCGTCAATGCAAGTCCGCGGCACTTAGCCCCGAGGCAGCCCTGACAAGCTTGCGCTGTCAGGGGGTCTCTTCCTCACTGCTCTTGCGACTCGAGTCAACCCAGCATCCCCATTCCTACACCCGGAGGCGTGCAACGTGTGCTGTCTTGTCATCCTAGTCCTAGTCTCTAGCCTCCAGGCATTCTAAAGCCTACAACCATTAAACAGCGGAAAGCCACATTCTCGGCATCCGACGACGCGCTTCGGTGCCTCATCCAGTAGAGCTCGGCTTCAGACCGAAGTTCAAGGACTTTTTTTCTTGAAGGGCCTCTTTCTATTCCGCAGATGGTCCAAGTTCAAGGTTTCAAGTCTGAGGTTCTGGGTTCAAACGTTGCTCTGGCAGGAGGTCGTGATTGCCTTCTGGATTTGGGGTACGTGGTTTTGAGAGTGAACTACGGTTATTGCAATGATATGGCATGTGACTAACTCTTGGTGAACAGGACTTTCGGTGTTTTCAAACCCTGCTCCCTTCACCCTCCGGCTCCCTCTCTTCGGACACCCCGCCCCCAACTTGGCCGGCGGCCGCGGGATGCGCCGTCACCCGGCTGCCCCCGTACCTTCCACACCAAGGAATGTGCGCCAGCGGATGGATGTTGGGGGGTTTTAAGCTTCAGGACTCTGCACTTCGGGTTTCGAAGAGTCTGCAGTAGACTTCCTCCCCCTGTCAGCACCGACTTACGGACCTTTAGCCCTGCAATCGAAGCAATTGCAAGTTCTGAGAAGCCCTGAGTACGAGCTGGCGGTCGCATTTCATCACCCAGCAGTGGCGCGCCGATGTGTTGCGAATGAACACGAATCTGCAGGAGTGCTGGGTTTAGGGTTCCCTAAACCCTAAACCATAAACCCTTGGGGTCTCGGGTCTCCATAAATCTAGGGAGGTTTGCGTTTTGCGGGACACTATGACTGCCAGCTGACACCACAGAGCTCGAGGTACTCAACGCATCTGCAAAAACACACAATGCGACCGGATCCCAACCTTTTGCAGCACCTCAGCCCAGTAAAGGGCTAATGTGTGCCCGATTCGTTTTGTCTAAGGTGAAGTACAGTACAAGCATAGCTTTGGCCAAACCGTGATGGAGAAGGCTTCGGATTTGGCAAAACATGGACTTGGCACCTTCTCGCATAAACCAAGGTGAAAACAATCGCACGCACTCGACGACCTCTTGGCACGAAGCGGCTTCATGATCTCAAGGTGCTCCGCAGCGGCCAGATCTTTTCACGCTGGTTTGAAAATATACATGCCATGTGGAACTGGAGCATGCCTCTGGCATGCTGTGTTTTGCCCCTGACTCAGCAAACAGCAAAGCTCATACTGATTCTGAGCTGGCCGCTATTAAGCTAATGACAGCCTTCTTCCAAGTGCTATACCCTTCATCGTCGTAGCATTTGGGCGGCACTCGCTTCAGAAGCAGCAAAGGGCATCGAAGAATCATGTTCAACATGGATGTGGTACTACTGTTGCAGTGGGCTGTGTCCCTCTGGGATCCGCCAGTGCACATCTCATTATCTTGCACATGGACTGTGAACTCCACATCGCGACTCAAGACATTCTCACAGAGGCGACTGCGCGTCGAGCGTCAATGGCCCCGTGCGAGAATGCTACACAAACATTCGCTTGTGTTCAACGTTACAAAACTTGAAAATTCTGGGAACATTTCCGTGAGCTAATTCCCGCTTGCGCACCACAGGCCCCACAGCTTTCGGTTACAGAGTCGGAAAGTGAAAGTCCTGAGCCCCAACCTCCAAACTCCACTGTGAACAGCACGATTTCGGTCAAAACAGCCTGATCCCAAGATGCGGGGCAGGGTATTGGAATTCGATCCAGCTGCCGAGGTCTTTCCACGAAAAGCGGCCAGAAGAACGAACCAACTCGTAACCCTGGAAGTCCACGTAGCGATTGAAGTCCCTAAACCCTAAACCTAAAACCCGAAACGACCAGACCGGAGCATTCCGGAGACCTTCAGCTTGAAGCCGCAAGCCCGAGGCTTTGAAACCCAAACCTCACACCCAAGCCCCCACACCAAGAATCGGAAAGTCTTAAGCCCAAAGTCCCAATCCACCTTAAGACGCAGGGAACTCGCTGAGGCCAGTAGTTTCTGTGATGCGTGTCAGCTCAATACCATTCTGAACCTCTGGCCCTCAGCAAAGCAGCAGCAGGCCCTCGGCTGCTCGTCTGTCGCTTGCGAGCTTACTTCAGGGTTTACGGTTCAGGGTTTAGAGTTCAGGCTTTTAGGGTTTAGGGGTTTCGGGTTAAGGGTACTGGCCGAACCCCGTTCTCTAACAGATCGATTGGGGATCAAACTGAAGAGTGATGGTCACATGCTGTGGAAAGTTACCTTGGCCTCTAGGTTTCAGAGGGGATGGACTCTTCGGCTGAAGGCTGTAAGATCGAGGCAGGACTTGCACATTTAGTTTCACGGGGATGGCGTGTACTATTACTTCCGAGCTTCTTGGGCCACATGAACATGGGTTCTGAAAATGAAGGGGTTCCTTTCAGTCCCGGCATCCCACATGACGAAACGGCTTGCATACCGTTGCATAACCTACGAGATGCAAATACACATCCGACTGACCTTCTGCCAATCTCAACTTCGAAACACTCAGGTCAAGCTGAATTTCGGTAGCCTCAACCCACAAGTCATGGTGCAACTGAGGTGCGAAGCTTCCTCAGATTTGGAGCCATCGAAGGTGTCTGCGGCGAGATGAGAACAGGATTCGGGCCGGTCTGAGCATGTTGTTACGAGCTTCTTGGGTCGACGACTCGACAACCTTGGCGAGCTGGATCCAGATTTCTGTAGACTCGTATGGAGCAGTAATATAGGGGCCTTGACAGTTAGAATACGGTTTGGGCCCCATTTTACCATAACTACAATAAGGAGCCCCCCAAAACATAACATTGGTAAATTATTGAGGCCCCTATAGTAGGTCAGACCCCCTGCAGGTCGGTTTACAGGTTAAGATGTAGGAGTCTCTCGGCGAGTCTTTGTCACAATGATGTGAAGGATGCTGGTTGGGGGTGCCAGCTTCATAAACACAAGCCCAAGTTTGGCGAAGTCTGCATTTTGCCACATACATCAAAGCACGACATCATGCTGGCAATGCTGCGCTTTGTACATCATCTTGCAGTGCCGTACATTGCCAGGCGACAGGGTATGCAACGCCCCGATGTGAAAGCAAGGTATAGCATGTCGGGAAGCCAAGTGGCCGCTGATAGAAGAAACGAATGATCTTAAGCTTCGAGGCCCCGCTGCCAGGACTAGCATCCGAATCGATGACGCACCTCCCTGAGCCCAACCCTCCAACATCTCGTGGTGACAAACTAAGTTGTCGGATAGAGCCGTAGCAATTCAAAACAGACAGCCGTCTAGGATTATAGAAGAAAAGGAGTCTGAGGATGCAAAAGCTGAGACCGCGAAGTCCGCGACCGTGGCAGGCCGTGATCGCAGCTTGAGATCCGAAATCTGAAATGCTTTCAATCGTTTGGCCGCCACCCGGAACCCAAATGGGGACTTCAGGTTTAGGGGCGAGGCTGAAAGGGAGCCTTCACCTCAAATGCCGTGTGCTCCTGCGCTTCGGCTTTGGGGCTCGTGACTTGGGGATGCGGTGAGCCCACATGGGAACCCTGAACCTTGAACCCCAACCGAAGCATCTTGAATCCTGAAGAGCGCCTTGGGGGTTTGTCGGGGCTTCGGGACACTGGAAGTTTAAGCCAACCCTCCTGCTGTTTGTAGCATCCCGGACTGGTGTTGTGCATGTGCCAAGGTTGTTGCAACAGTTTGATTGCCCTTATCTTGGGTTTTTGCTTTGTACCTATCGCCTGGAGATTCGGCTGCTTCTGGGCTTCTGGGGTGGAACAGAAGGCCAGGGTCGCAAACGTTTACTTAACTTCAAATGCCACATGCCGCCATGCAACTCACACTCTAAGTCACTAATCAAAGATGCTCCCGTCCCTTTCTACGTCGAGGGTCCGGAGTTGCTCCGAAAGACGCTTCGTGAACCCACAGAGTGCCAAATAGCCTGCAAGCACCAAGCAATAATGAGCAAAGTATTGGATGCTTTTTGAAGCGGGGGTGCAACCGGGCGATCCTGGTCAAGTGCCATAGCACCGTCATTCAAAGGTCATCGTGCAGTGCATGATTTCCAACCAGGTCTCCCAAATGGAACGGCAAAGCAATCAATTCAAACAGCTACGAGCAGGTCTTCTGGCCCAGTCTACTCCCGCGGTTGCTGCGAGTGAGCGCCCGGTGTTGTACCAGGTGAAGACCTCGACCGGGTTAAAGCTGCTCGATTAGCAGCACCAGTGCAGGCATCGGCCCAAGTATAGATGGAGAGTTTCCAGCCAAGTCTTGGAATCCACAGCATCTGGTGGAGCGCCTCGCGTTGCACGGCTTGGGAGCACTAAAAATGGCTAACCTGAACCTGCAACTCGGGCCCCTCAGGTGAAAAACTAAACCCGAGCTGGCAACGATACCAGCTGCAAAGCCCAAAAACATCCTCCCTCCTTTCGAGTGACACTTACTTCGCCGCCAGGATCGCTGAAGCAGGATGGCAGCTGGCTCCTCCGAACTTAGAAGGGTCGAAGGCCCGGCTCTTTCGAGGACCTAGGACCTGAAAACGTCTGAACCTGTCTGTCGAGGTCCCGAGTTCTTGAACCTCACACTCCTACTGGTCCGCAGTCCTGCCATTTCTGCAGGACTGGCATGAAGTTTGAGGCCTGAGGCAGTGGAGACTGGGACAAAGGTGCTACTGACGAGGCGCTTCCATCGCTGCTTGACTCTGCAATTCGGGTTGTCTGTGTTGATTCTGGCAAACCTTGTCGGGTTTCCGACCGCAACCTTGCTGTCCAATGCCAAGGTCATGAACATCTAACTGAGCTGAGGGGCTGCTTTCTCCATCAAGTGGCTCCGCTCATGGACTTCCACCGCCTCCATGTAGACGCTCAAGGGCAGTGCGCTTGGATCCGCGGCATCCAGGATGGAGTGGGAGTGTAGCTCCTTCACCAAAGGCATGACTTGTTGTGCCAGGCGGAGTCCAAGGAGCTCGCTGCCTTTTGTAGACATGTGGAGCTCATCTCGCCAAAGGCCATGGCCTCACGTCTCTCGAGCCCTCTCTGAGAATTTAACTTCACTCCTGTAACTGTAGCTTTGAGCCTATGAGTTCAGTTAGCTCCAAGAAAACATCCTGTCAGGCCAGACAGCTCCCAAGTGACGTTTGGCACGCGGCCCGTGGGGAAGCAAAGCTGCCGGATTGACAAAAAGCCGCGGGCTGCCAGGTGGGGATTCCTCGACCCACTTTGCCAACAAGTTGTTGACCTGCTTCCGGGCACCGCCAATGAACTTGGAGGATGTCGCTCCGACATCCGGCATCCCAACAGCTACAGTTGGGACACCCAGGCTGTTGCACAGATGATGCAAGGTCTGGAGCGCCTCCACGATCTGGTGCGGCTCCCTCTTATTGTACTCTCCTGAAGGCAGGGCGGAGTGGCTTCTCGGTGCTCACACATCCTTACGAACCTCTCGGGAAGCAGCAAGCATTGCCTTGCATCCCGGCAGAATCTCACCTAAACTCACTGTGAACCCCTGCAAGTCCCGCTTCGCAGACCAAGCATCTGTTAAAACGAAGAATGTCGTTGATGCCGGCAGTAAGGATAACAAGGCCCACAGAAGGAGAATCCTTCTCCTTTGTTGTTCCGCAGAACGATAGACTTGTGCGGCCCTTCGGGGTTATGCCTTAAGTTACAAGCCACAAAAATGGATCCGAGTCTTGTCTTGCGCAGCAACCCACCTGATGCGAAGGGAAACCACTCGGAGAATTGCAATGGGTAAGTTAACTATAGTTACTTAGTAGATGTGAGAAGTACCTATGACCTCTATTACGAAGTATGTAAGACCTGACCCTAAACCACTGTACCCTAAACCCTAAATTTAGTACGTCTCCTTTGCTGCCGGAGTCGCCGGTCGGAGAAGGGAGCCCAAGCCGGGACCCGTGCGCTTCCTTGGCTTCCGCAGCCGGCTCTTAGGTAGGGTATTATTTACGATTGAAGGTTTTGGGGATTTTGGGATTATGTTTTGGGAGGCTTCATGTAGTATATATGGCGTGTGTTAAGTCCAGTCTTCTGTCTTTGAGAAAGTTCAACTGCAAGCGGACGGCTCGAGGACTCGCTTCAACAGCTTACAGGGTTAGGACTTCTACTGACTCTACGGTGGTAGGACACATGGACATCCACATGGTCGGGAGAAAGTAAACAGCCTTAAAACATGCCAAGCTTCTGAATGTCGCGCAGTGATTTGTCATCCCGTCCGGCAGCTAGATGATGCGCCGTGATGCCCACGAGGCCACAAGTTACAACTTCTGTTGACAAGCCCTCGCAGTCGAGCTCAGCTGCAAATCGATGTGCATACACGGGGTCATCCTCGCCGGTCAAGCCGTCACCATAGATAACGATGCGCAGGATGCACGGGCCTTGGTCCCCCTCAAAACACGGGGTTATCGTGCACCCGATGCCGGGTTACAACAAATCCATCACAATTCATGTGGAACTGCACATACTCAGGAGCCAGTCTTTGTCCAACTAGGCTTCGCCCTATGTACAGATAAACATGATCCCAACAGCCCTGAAGCAAAGGCGACAGCAGCCAGGCCACCCTTTGCAGGAAGCCGGTGCACCAACTCGAAGTCCCAGGGAGTAACTTCGACCTCCGGCTCGTGGCGATGACCCGTCCCTTGAGGGACACCCCTCACTTCGGGCCTTTGGCTTACCAATTCCTTGGAATCGAGATCGTCATGTCTCTCTCTTTGCTGCTCTTGATACTACTAGGTACGGCCTGCTTCTCGTCATTGCGATGATCTATGGCCAGAATGAGCAGAGCAGAGTTCAACAGAGGTGTCCTTCCATGTTACTGCTCTTACTCTGCTGTGCATAGCCGTTTATGTAAAAAGGACTGAGCAAGAGCCTAAGCCGAAAACCTGAACACGTGCCCGAGATTCTAATTGCACGGCCCCCATCGCACCGTTTTTCAAACGGACAGGCACCATCGTGTAACCCTCGTTGGACACCGGCGGGCCGGTAGCAAACATGTGTTCACCTCGCCGCACGTGGCAAATGACATCCCAGGACTCAACGTCGTAGAAGCCTTCTTTGTGGAGCCCGCCCACCAAAGCGCTTTTGTGGGTGTTTGAGGTCTCTAATACTTGCACAAGATACATATATATATATATATATGTATGTATGCATGTATGTATATGGGTCTAACCAGGCAAGGCAGCAGCGAAGCTCGTCCTCTTTGGAATACAGCTTGCATCCAGCAGTGATGGGTGGGATGAGAGCCCAAAGCTCCTCGTCACTCTCTTTGCGGATGCTGACCCAGCCATCAACCCCGTCAGCATCGCGCACGTGCATGCGCCTTTCAGATTTAGAGGATATAGACAGAACCTCAACTTTGGAGCTTGCAGGTAGAAGCTTGATGCGCTTGCTCTGCAACTCTTCTGTCTCGCGCATGATGACATTGCCAATCGACTCGAGAGTCATGCCTGGCCGAAAAGTCGTCCGGTCATCACCGAGGGAGTCGGGCTGCAGATGTCTCTTCAACCATTCCTCCCGTGCGCATCTCGTGCGCCCTTTGCTCGAAGTGGGGGGCGTTTCGGCAGGTGGGCCAGGTCCTGCTGCCGTGGAGTCCTGGTTCAGGCTGCGGAGTTTGCACCCGGGCAGTGGCTCAACTTTCAGCTTCGAGACGGGAGGAAATTGCTCGCCTGAGAGCTTTTTCATTCCCAGAAGCTGCACCATCTAGCCCGACCTGGCCGCATGCCGCAAGCGCACGCGAGGAGCTCAAGGCTGCGGGCGAAGGTC